ACTTGCGTTTAATGTAGAACGGCCTTTGAGTTCCACTTTTGTGGAAATACGGCTAAAACCAGCGGCTGAAACCGTCGTAAAAAATTACTATAGGATGGCCGCTCTCAGGTTTCTCTCTGGTAATACACTGTTCTAACCTGTCCTATCTTGTAACACTGCTAGTGACTACGCTAGTTTTAAAATTTGGGGCAAATTTTTGATTGGTTCGGAGAGCGGCCATTACTTGAACCACTGCGCATTCACGGGAATAATACACCTGGTATATTTACATCATGGGTAAAGCATTAAAATGGCGACTACCATGGAACAAATAACGCTAATCGATGCGGAAACTAATATTGAATACAAATTAGTTATATCAACAGAAGACGCTAAGAAAGCAAGAAATGGCAAGTATATATAATGTTTTTTAAAATATCGTGTTTAGTTTTAAACAGAATTAGAATAGAAAAATGCATAACCTAATTAACCTATATGTTATTTACATAATATAATTTAATATTTATTTGCCTTATTTGTTTTTTTTATTGTGTATTTGTATTGTTTGTTGATAGATCACGTATTCGCACATTCTTTATTAGAACACGCAAAAAGAAATACAAATGTAGATGTGGTTGAAAAACTTCTATCTCAATCAGGTGTATAATGTTCATAATTTATATTTATGCTGAATTAGTTATTAACTTATGTGTTTGTGGCATATGGATTAGTTTTAAATGTTACCATAAGTTCAATAAGTAATGCTTTTTTGTAACTTCAAGAAATTGATATTTTCTAGAGAATATAGATAACACAAATGAAATTACTCCTTGTAGTAGTGAAACTGACTCGTCTGTTGAAGTAAAAGGTAAAAAGTAAATAATATTATTTTTCAAAAAGAACACTATTACAAATAACAAATTATTGTTCTACTTTTAGATCAACATATATGGACTCGTTCTGAAACTATGCTCCTTATAAATTTGTACAAAGAACACATAGCAAAATTTAATAGTCCAAAAAGTTCTTCAAAACAGTGCTGGAATATTGTGTCCAAAGAAATGAAAGATGCAGGATACAATATACCTCCTATAAAATGTGCAACAAAATTTCAATGTTTAAAAAGAACTTATAAATCTGTTACTGATCATAATAAAAAATCAGGGAATAGTAGAAAACATTGGGAATATTATAAGATATATTAACATGAATTAGAAATCTAGAAATAATATATATTTATATAATTGGATTTAAGAAATAATTATGTATTTAAGAAGAAAATATATGTTGCTGTTTTGTAATAATGTACGTAATATCTTGTAATACTTTGTAATAATACATTATTACAAAATAGCAACATATTTTTCACAAGTTTTTGTCTGTTTAGCAAAATATAGAACAAAACAGTAGGTTTTTAATTTTAGATTATGCATGAGATATTTAGTACTAAGCCGTGGATTGAACCATAAGCAATAGCTGGATCTAATGTCGACACTAATGCTATTACAAATACTAATATAGAAAATGAAGATCCAAAAGGTATTCTATCATAAAAATATAGCACGTATTTTATAATACATATTTATTATACAAAATGAGTTTGAAAGTTTTCTTATATAAGTTACTTATAAAAATAATTAAGATTTTTAATGAAAGGTATATATATATATATATA